CAGACCGCTTTTACACAAATGCTCGGACACTTCTTGTTGTTGCCTCACCCAGCTGCTGCTTTCCCATGATAAATCGTTAGAGTCTGGTGAAAGACAAACGTATCAGCATGGCAATATATCAGGAAGCAGAGTTAGATGTGTATTTAAGGTGCAGCAATTCACCTGGATTTGGATTTTCCGCTTGCAGACTCAGTCCCACTTGTTGAACTTCCTCAAATGCAGAGTTGCTCTCTTCTTCCGCCTGCTCTTCACCCTCGTTTGTATTTTTACGTCCAGCGTTCCTGCAGAAGACAAATGAGCTCAGACTGGTTGACACATAAATGTTGTGTTACCTGCTGAGTTGTTGTTACCTTTTAGCTGGAATGTTACCGCAATTCAAGGAGGATTGTGTGGTTTTACTGGAAAACATGTTACATCAAATGTAATGAGTGGGTTAAAATTTAATAATGACTCAGCATCAAGCTCAAAAATCTGAAAGTTAGGAGTCAATCCTACCTTATTTGAATTCTTCTTTTCCTTCTGCTCTCAGAGCTGCTGTCAGTACAGTGAGACGTTAAACTCTCCACAAAAGTCTGCTTTGTTGTTGAGGAATGACTGGGGTACGTCACAGTTTGATCACACACATCAGTGGAAGCACTGGGCACCTGCAGAAAACCAGCTGACTTGTTTTATATTGTTAATGGCAACTGCTTTTGGGAAGACGATTTAAAATAAGGTCGTTCACCTCTTTGTCTTTTAGTCCCTGTGGCTCTGGAGTTTCCATGTACTGCACTGCTGCGATCTGCCCTTGGATTGCGAGTTTCTTGTGTTCTCTGTACTGCAGGGTTTCTAACTCTCTCTTCAAATCAGCTGCAGCAACCAGAGGAACTTGAGCTGAAGGTAAAGAATAAAGTCAGAACCTATGCTGACAACGAAACTAAATCATTTTTGCTGCAGGACAAAGATGTAAACACGAGTAAGGCGATATATTTTATGAAATAAAGCTGTAACACATGATCTGAAAAACAATGTAAGCTAACATGCAACTACACACACCATCAGCCATTGACTGTGTAAACATCGCTGGGGGGCGAGGGTAGCGGTAATAGCCACCAACAGCTGTTTTCTGGAGGACAACATTGTCCTTCAGAGTCTTGGTCCACTGGATGAAGCTCTTCACTCTGGGGTCATTCACGTACGGCTGACCTTTATGGTAACCTGTTGTTTAGGCACATCATTTACAGTTCACTTACACAATCAATTTGCCACATTATCAGATACTTATTGTTCCAGCTTGTTCTAACCTGTGATGAACGTCTCAGTCTCACAGCTGCTTGTGAGGTACGGCAACGAGCCTTCCACATGACAAACCCTCATCTGAGTGCAAACCAAGTAGGTCACTATGGAATAGAGGATATATTTTTTAAATACACTGGCATGCTTACAGTGTGGCAGCAGACTTGACACAGCTGACTTACTCGGACAAATATGACTGAAGATTTCTGCTTGAGAAGTGGAAAAAAGCTCCAGAATAAAAGGATGGTCAGATGTTCCATCCACTGCATGTACCCAGCGATACGTCCAGTACTTTTCTGGACCTAAAAAGGTGAACACCACCGACCAAAATAAATTCTTTCAATTATCAAAAACCACTTCCAGGCAACAGACAAGATAAGAACATTTCTTACCTTTCCCTTTACTCTTCACCCTTTCAACACGGCCAACAAATGTTACCAAACCAATTATATCACATGCTGAATTGTTGGCCAGCTTCTCCAACTCTGACCTGTGAGCATCAAAAACATCATGCAGCAGTTGTTTAGGCGAAACTCAAAACAACTTCTTCATTTTGTAGAAACACAAACACGTCGGTTTTTGTAGAATAGGGACAAACAGCAAATAGAGTCCTGCACGCTGTCTAAACACACTGTAATAAATCTAATTTCCCAAACACTGTAATAACTGATTTATTTGCAATGTTTCTACACTAGACTTCATCAAGCAAACTCTAGACTGGAATGTTCAAAATATATTGATGTTTGTAAGTTAGAAATGATGTGGTAGTTTGCAGTAATGCATAAACCAATACTTGCAGCACTGAATCCATGCCTTAGGTGCAGATAACAGAGAGATACATGTAAGACAGTAGACTAACTAATACGGTTCTAATTCATTACCGAGCAGTGAACTGGTAGGAAATGTCAGGCAGTCCCCACTGAGGAAGTATGCTCTTTGGTGAGACCACGGTGATGACTGAAGCTGGGTTGCGAGGGTTCAGGCAGATTTCTTGGAAAAAAACACATGCAGACGACAGTTTATAGGTCTTTACAAAAACCATGTAAACACTAAATGGTGAATAAATACCAAAACAAATCAACAGAAAATTTATCATTTATATATGAAAATACAGATTCTAAGATAGTGTATTGATAGTATATGGTCATTTTTTTCACAGAAAACAGTGCTACTATATTTTTAAAAATTACTGAATATCATCAGTAGTTACGTACATACCGACAGAGTTAAAGGTCTTCATTCTATGGTGGTCCATTTGGGGGCGTGACCGGTTTGAATAACTCTGTTTCAGAGTGTAATTTTGAAGGTACAACACTGTGCCAACATTCAGTCGCTGGTAAAACTCGGGACAAAGTTCGTTCCAAAGCACAAGGGACATTGTGCCACTCTGGTCAGCAACTTCAAAGTATGCCTGAAATATGATGACATAGGAGGTGAAAACGTTTAAACTATGCTCTGTCACAACATGAATGTATATTACAAAAAACTGAGCTCTTGTTCACATCCCACCTGGTATGGGTAATCAATCTTGAGGCCAAACTTTCCATAATACCTTAACCTGGATTTGTGTATGATTTTCACCAGGAGAGGGAGGGGTTTCCACGTGTTTTTGAAGGATGAGTCCAGGCTAGAAAGCAGTGTAACCTTGGACACTGTTGGAATCAAGACATTACAGAAAACCCATTGTCGTTAATTTTACTACCAAGTAATAGTAACTAAAACTTTTGTTTACTATAATTTTATAGAAATATATATATGTTTCTGTATGTTTACTTTGTCTGTGTGCAAGTGTTTTACGTGAGTACATTTTAATTTTGTTAATGCAATCTACATCTGTTATTAAGTATCTGTGTTGCTGCCCTGTTGGTCAGGTCTCCCGTTTAAAAGAGATCTTTGATCTCAATGGGACTGCATCACCAAGCACCCGATTAGTAGATGACCTGCTCTATCTCCTGAGCTCAACTCCAAAATCTAATACCTTAGGTTATTTCCCTATGTTAAGCCTTTTTCTGTGATGGTCATTTATAATCTTTTATTTTTTCTGAGGTCTAAGAGATAAATCAAAACCAACCTATCAATCAATAGAGGACATTATTTTTGGTCATACACCACATCCTGCCTTTAAGCCACTTAATTGCCTCCTTATTTATGAGTGTATCAATTCCCCCTGCAAATAGCAAAGTTTACTGCAGTGTTATAAATTATAGGTGACACAATAATGATGTAAACAACACAATGTGAGAGTGAGGGAGGGGTTGAGATAGCAGTATCTCACCGTCCAGCACAGTATCAGCTGAAGGGGATCCTGACATCCAGATGTCGCCCTCTGGGTCGTCGTTGTTCCAAAGTGACAGGTAATGTTTGCGGCTCACCTGAAGGGGGACATCACTTTGCAAGACCACGCTCCTCTCCATTCCCTGCTTGACCAGCATGGGCAGTGAACTGACAGTGTTTACACGAGCCAGCACAGCAGATCTTTTTGCAGCACATCTGAGCTGTTCAATGCAGATGTAGCCATGTCCCAGCCTCCTTTCGTTGTAAACAAAGGAGCACTGCGTGATGCTGATTTCAGACCCGGTCTTTAGGCTGTTGCTGTGCACCAGATGATTCAAACTGGGGTGAAGGAAGCATTTAGCTCGCCAGACTCCATCTGTGACTGTCACATCGTAGCTGTAGCTGTCGAGCTGCTGCCCTTTTGTTTGCTCGGACAGGTATCTCTGAAGTGCGATGACAGCGACAGGAGCTGCCTCCTCAGTTTTCAGTTTCAAGCTCTGTGTGGATGATAACCGCTCCAAAGTCCTCTGGAGGAAAGACGCTTGAGTGACACCACTCACCACTGAAGAAGAAGACGAGTTATCCTCCATCACAAATGTGTAATTAAAGCAGTTAGTTGGTCGGTTAGTTAGCCGTTTTCTGTCACTCTCTCATGTTAGCTTGTTGGCTAAAGTTGTCTTGCTAGTATTAGCAATAACTAAACTAAACTAAATTCGTTTAACATTACTGAAAAAAACTATCCGAGTTCGTCCAATAGTAGGCTTATCTTACAAGCAATGCGTCATACACAACTTATTGCATTTTCAGTAGGCTTCTTCACCTGTGAAGTTGCAGTTAACGTTAGCTAACGTTACAAACATCGCGGCTTGATGGCGTCACTATTAGCCTAGAAAACCAAAACATGTACAAATACAAAGAAACACACTTAATATACACACGCAGTTTATATGTGTACCCCTGCCGTGTCAAATTATTTAATATAACTTCGAAAAGAACTGCCTACTGTACTAAAGGGAAATTCCTGCTTTCAAAATCCGCGCTTTACCTAACAAGGACCATTTGATATGACGTCACCAGAGCGCCTTGCGTAATTTTGTAGTTTTTAAAAATA